TACTCTGATACATTCAAGGTCGCCATGAGCTGGACTTGACTCCACAACAACTCTTTTTTTTTCCTAATTGCTTTCATGTAACATAGATTTGCCAATAAGGGAGCGTACACATCTGTGTGGAAGTAGGGAGTGAAGAGTAATCGAAAACCCCATGAAAGTCTGGCTGATGCGGACAGCCTCTAAGTAAGGACAGAATCCCATTCCGATTGCTTTTCTCTCTGCCTTAGAGAGGACAGAGCTGGTCACTGTTGGGGTGGCTGGTCCCCACATGTCACTGTGTCACAGTAACCACATGCTGCCCACAGTGAGCTCTCTCTGAGCATCTCCAGAGCCTCCAGCTCCCACTCCAGCTAGTTCTGCAGTGAAATCACAGAGGCTGATACGAGTAAACTCCAGAGGATGCAGCCTGTGGATGCTCACAGTCCGCGCATCAGAATCACACCAAGGAAAAGAAGGAATTCATTATGTGGTAATTAAGGAGCGATGGGTCATTGACAACAGAGACGCACTACGATACTAAAACCAATCTCCCTGCACATCCAGGGCTCAGGCAACAGCTCGCGGGGATGCAGGCTCCCACCTAACAAATGGGAAGCCTGCATTTCTGCAGTCCACTGGGGCCCGGACACAGAAGATCTATGAATTGGGGAACATACGGGATTGCTGGAGTCCCTGGGGCTTTGAACAGTGAATGAGCTCGGCTGCTCACTGAAAGGTTGGACGTTTGAGTACACCTGGAGGTGCCTCGGAAGAAAGGCCTGGTGATCTACTCCTGAAAAACCAGCCAGGTCTGTTCTGCACACATGGTAGCACTGTGTGGTGGAGTCGACTCGCCTCACTGGCACCCGGCTTTATTTGGGGGCTGAGTTTCAGATGGCTTGGCACCCTGGGCAGCAGGCTGGAGAGAGGGAGCATTGGGAGGACGGGACAGCTGTCTGCTCAGTCTCACCCCCTTCCAGGGCCCAGGTGCTCATCCAATCTCTCCTAAGTCCCTTCAGCCAGAAGAGAGCAGAGAGAGAGGCCCTGAGATTTCATGAGATGAAAAGCCCTGGTCCACCGACAAGGAGAAGGTGGGTGTGGAGAGTCTGCCAGTATCCCCCACAGTACCCCTCCCCCAATGCCACCGCTTGGGGCCACGTTGGCCACTGCTCAGGGCCGGCCCACTTCAGCCACCTGCACAAAGGAATACCCTAAGCACAGCCATGCCCTCACTGCACAAGGCACCACAGGAGGCTGGGGAAGCCCAGGGCCACAACCTTGCTGCACAGGACACCCACAATGAGGGAGGGTGCTTAGGACCACACCCTCTGTGCACAGTGAGGAGAGGGAGGAGCCCATGTTGTGTGCTCCCTGTATGACCCAGCAGTTGGGGAGGGTAGGTCAAGAGCGCTTGGATGCTTAGGGACACTCATGAGGGACACTGCCAGCCAGTCCAGGCTCACCTTTCCCAGATGGTAGTATAGGGGCTGCCTGTCTCATGAACAAGGCATCTTCTGCCTTGTTCCCATCACAAGAAGGGTGCCCAAGGTTCCCCGGTATCCAACACTGTCCCACCATACTAACTTGTGAAAGTGACCGCTGCCCACAAGGCCCCTTTCCACAATAAACCAAAAACACCAAATGCACTGCCGTCAACTCAATTGGACTCACAGTGACTCCTCCTTGGGTTTCCAGGTCGGTATCTCTATGGCAGTAAATTGCCCAGTCTTCCTTCTGAGGAGTGGCTGGTAGGTTTGAACCGCCAGCCAAAAGGTTAGCAGTCAAATGCTTTAGGCAGCAGGCCACCAGAGCTCCTTTCAACAATGTAGTTGTCGTTGTTGTTATGTGCTGTTGGGTCAGACTGGACTCATAGCGACCCCTCCTTGGGTTTCCGAGGTGCTATCACTATGGAAGCAGATTGCCCAACCTTCCTTCTGAGGAGTGGCTGGTGGGTTTGAACCGCCAGCCTTCTGGTTAGCAGTCAAGTGCTTTAGGCACTATAGTGCCTTTCAAAACAGTGTGGATGAGGGGAAGCCTGGGGAGGACGCCCTCCAGAGCTGTAGCAGCACCCCAGTCGCTCACCTCCCTCCTCCCGGGCTGAGCAGGTGCTGGTAATGAGCTCGCAGGTGCCTCACACCTCAGCAGGTGCGGTAACAGGGCTGATGGCTTTTGTGTTAACACAGAATAAACAAGCATACATGGCAGCCAGAGCACAGGGCATGGTAGGAATCACGCATGGCAATACGTACTCCTTGGGGCGGCACTACCCTCCAGCCATAAGCACCACCAGGCTGATCTCAGGCAGTGGAGGGAAGGCTGCAGTTATAGATTTGTCCAGAGTCCCCACAACACCAAAGGTCCTGAGGACCTGGAGAGGGGCCTACAGGGTGGCTCCACCATACTGGCCTCAGAATATACCACAAAGGGCCCTGAACCTGTTCACACTCAACTTCCCTGCCTGGCCATGAATTGGGTGACTAGCAGCTCTCTGTGGAGTAGGTACACCAATCAGCCTCTTGAAAAGGTGGCAGGAACAGCTTGTCTGAATCACCCTGTGCAACTAGGGGTGCTGCTGGGCCCTCAGCTGGAAACAGGGAAGGGAGTCTGGCTGTGTCCCTGGACAAATTTCAGAGGAGGCAGGCAGCCCCAAGCTCTGGGTAAACTCTGCAGGACTCAGAGCCATAGGGGCTTTCTGATTCCTTCTGCTGAATCAACCTTCCTGCCCACTGAGCCAGGAAGCAAGACAAGGAAACCATGGCCCACCCTCGTCAACTACCTCCTTAGGGAAGGAGCCTTAGTCCTTGAGGGAGAGCAGGCAGGTGGGAGAGTAGGCAGGTGGTGCTGGTTGGTCCCAGCTCTGCATCAGGAAGCTGGTGACCAGCTATCGCATGTCCCAGTCTGTGACAGTAAATGCTATATGTCCACCAGGCTGGGCCCTGGTGCCCAGGGACCTAGCCACAAACTGTCTAGTGTTCTGTGGTCAGCAGGTGTAATTAACATGTACATCACTGACTGTGAGTCAAGGAGCTTGCTCTCCACATTCAGTGATGGGGGGGTTCATCCACTCAATTGAAGGTCTCAAGAGCAGTTCTTTGAAGGAGTCTGTCTCAAGACTATAGCATAATCCAGATCCCATCAACATTCTTTAAGGATATGGAAAAACCAATCACTAACTTTATATGGAAAGGAAAAAGACCTCAGATAAGCAAAGCACTATTGAAGAAGAAAAAGAAAGAAGAAAGTCTCATACTCCTGGATCTCAAAACCTACTATACAGCCAGCCACAGTAGTCAAAACTGCCTGGTATTGGTACAACAGCAGACACACAGACCAGTGGGACAAAATCAAGAACCCAGAAATAGATCCATTGACCTTTGGTCAACTCATCTTTGACAAAGGGCTGAAATCCATTAAATGGGGAAGAAGACAGTCTCTTTCACAAATGGTGCTGGCAAAACTGGATATCCATTTGCAGAAAAATGAAATAAGATCCATACCTCACACCATACACAAAAAGTAACTCCAGATGAATCAAAGACTTAAATGTGAAACCTAAAACTATAGAGTGCCTCAAGGAAAAAATAGGGACAAATTTAGGGGCCCTAATTAATGGCATAACTAGACGATCAAGCATAACCCAAAATGCATAAACAGCAGATCAACTAGATGAATGGGACCTTCTAAAAATTAAATTCTTATGTGCATCAAAAGACTTCGCCAAAAGAGTGAAAAGAGAACCTACAGAATGGGAAAAAATATTTGGCAGTGACATGTTGGACAAAGGACTTATCTCTAAAATTTATAGAAAACTCCAACACCTCAACATCAAAAAGACACACAATCCAATTAAAAAATAGGCAGAAGACATGAACAGATACTTCACCAAAGAAGAGATTCAGGCAGCCAACAAACACATGAAATGTTCACAATCATTAGCCATTAAAGAGATGCAAATCAAAACAACCACGAGATACCATCTCACCCCAGCACTACTAGCAAAGTTCAACAAGACAGAAAATAACAAATGCTGGTGAGGATGTGTACAGATTGGGACTCTCATACATTGCTGGTGGGACTGTAAAATGGTACAACCACTGTGAAAATTGGTATGGTGATCCCTTAAAAAGTTTGAAATGGAAATACCATTTGATCCAGCAATCCCATTGCTAGGTATATATCCTAAAGAAGTGAAAGCCAGGACAAGAACAGATATATGCACACCCATGTTCATCGCAGCACTATTTACAACAGCAAAGAGATGGAAACAACCTAAGTGCCCATCAACTGAAGAATGGCTAAACAAACTGTGGTACACACACAAAGGAACAGAATACTATGCAACCCTAAAGAACAATGTAGAATCTTCAAAACACCACATAATGTGGATAACCTTGTAGGACATTATGCTGAGTGAAATAAGTCAATCACAGGAGGTCAAATATTGTATTAGTCCACTATTGTAAAAAGTCAAGGAAAGGTTTATACATGGAAGGAAACTTTCTTTGTTGACTATCAGGGGTAGGAGGAGAGGGGAGGGAAAATTCCTAGATAGGCTAAAAAAAAAATTATAGAAACCAAAGATTATTAGTGGTTACCAGGGGTAGGAGGGAGGGGGAAAGGGGAAGCTTTTGTTTGAGGGACAATGAGTTTATGCTAATGGTAATGAAATACTTTGGAAAAGGATAGTAATAATGGTGGCACAATGTGAAAAATGTCATCAGTGTCCCTGAGCCGTAAACGGGGAAGTTGGTATGTTGGTGAATGTCTTGTTGTGTATGTTTTCATCACAATAAAAGTGAGAAAACAAAAACAAACAAAAAAAACTATAGCATAGACATCTAGAATTCCTACCAAGTTCCGGGCCATCCCTTGCCCTACAGAAGCCAGCCTTATCAGTCTCTACCATCGCATGAGCCAAGTCCTTAAAATAAATCTCTCTCTCTTTATAGGAAGATGAATGAGAGCTGACAGAAAGATAGAAGATAGACAGACAGACGGACAGCTACTTGATAGAAAGATACCTGGCAGATAGATGATAGACAGGTGGGTAGAGACAGACTGATAAACAGATAGACACAGAGACAGAATGACTGGCAGGCAGGTGGTAGATGGTTAGAGAGATCCACAGGTGAGAGACAGATGGATAGCTGATGGATAGACAGCTATAGACACACACACAGATGCGTGTGTACATGGGGCTGTACAGCTCTATCCTGCTGGCTCGGTCCCACCAGAGAGCCCTGGTAGATGCACAGTATTTACCAAACCCCGCACATGCTCCGGGTGCCCTGACAGTGGCATCTGCCCCCTTCCTGCCCACCTTGGTGCGGCGCAGGGCATGCAGCCACCTACCGTGGTGGTCTTGATCCGTCCACCAGGCTGCGTGCAGGTCCAGCCGGAACGGTTGATGAGCAGGTCGCAGCCTTCCCCCTCCAGGCACGGAAGCATGTCACACCACTGCTTTGTCTTGATGATCCGGGCTGTAGGGAGAGAGAGAGAGAGCAGGTCAGGGTGCTGCAGGCTGGGTGAGGGCACAGCCCAGTGGGGCCCTCGGGGCTGGGTGTCAGAGCTGTGGGCCTGAGGGGACAGGTACTGTGGGGTGGGGGAGCAGGTCAGGGCGCTGGCATAGCCCAGTGGCACTCCAGGGTTGGGTGACAGCACCATGGGCCAGCAGGGTGGGGGCCTCACTGCAGGGCGGAGGCCCCACAGGCAGCTCATGGCCGACCGGGAAGCCGCATCCATCCTGGTGCCCCAGGTGAGGGCCCGTGCCTCACTCCTCTACCCACCAGTAGTGCAGGGCTGTGAAAGACCAACAGATGGCCCCTTCTCGGAGAGGGGACAATCTAGGTGTCCCCTTTGTCTGGAGTCTCTAGAGAGCCAGGGAAGGCATGAGGAGCAGTGCTCCCAAGCAGAGGCAGTCAGGGTGGTGCCCGCCCTCACAGCTCCCAGCCCTTCATTTATTGCCAATGTCCCCCCATATCTCAGTCAGGAGAAACCACTGCTCTATAAACAGGTACTGTGTGTTATGAGCTGGCACCCGCCCAACGGCAGGCCAGCAGGTCATTGGGTGCATGACCTGACGCTGCCCAGGCCCCATACTCAGAAAGGCCTCACCCTTCACTTAATGCTCTGAGGCCACCACTGCAGGTATTGCTCAGGGTGTTTGAACTCGGGGCCAGGCAGTTTGATCTTGCACTGCCCACCATACTGGTTAAGGAGCTAAGCACTGAAGAGCAAGGATGCCACTCTGAAGACTAAGATGCACCTAACCCAAGCCATGGTGTTTGCAATGGCTTCATATGCATGTGAAAACTGGACAATGAGTAAGGAAGACTATGGAAGAGTTGATGCTTTTGAGGTGTGGTGTTGGAGAAGAATGCGGAAAGCACCATGCACCGCCAGAAGAATGAACAAATCTGTCCTGGAAGAAGTGCAGCCAGAATGCTCCTTGGCAACAAGACTGGCCAGACTTGGTCTCACACACTTTGGTCATGCTGTAAGGAGGGCCCATTCCCTGGAGAGGGACATCATAGTGGGTAAAGTACAGGGTCAGCTTAGAAGGGGAAGACCCTCAATGAGATGGGTTGACCCGGTGACTGTGATGATGGGCTCAGGCACAGCAAGGATGGTGAGGCTGGTGCCCAACCAGTCAGCATTTCGTTCTTCTGCGGCACACAGGGCCACTAGGAGTCAGAGCCGACTGGACTGCAGGCACTCAACACCAACAGTGCAGTAGCGGGCTCTGCAGGAAGTAAGGCAATAGGCACAGCCACAGGGAAAGAATGGATAAGAGGTGACAGGCGACCTGGGAGAGAGCTCACAGCTGGTGAGGGCCTGGGCCTTGGGGTGCTTCTGGGACAGGTGGATTTGGGAGACTTCCCACAGGGGTGGGCTTGGGAGGCTGGGGACGGTCTGGAAGACGGACTAAGTGACAGCCTTCCTGCTCGAGTGACCAGCTGCTGAGAAGGGCTCTCCTCTTGTGAGCTAACTCTGACCAACCTGTGGGAGCTGTCTGCGTCAGCACCAACAGGCCAAGCCATGCCTGCCCAGCACGGTGCGGCTGGGTGCGTGTGTGCTTACACTGGCCAGTCCTGCTCACCTGCCCACCTAGGCTGTCCATCAGATGGTCATCCCAGAGGCCAGCCCCTGCTGGGCCAGGAAGACCTCACTGAAGTCAGAATTGGAAAAATACCAAGGCTGAGAACAGGTTTCCTCACTCTCAATGCTGGTCCCTGAGAGGGTCGGGGGGAGGGGCTGTCTTAGCTTCCTGCAGAATCTTCCCCAAGAGGGATGCCATAATCCAGGATGCGGCTTCCAGGCCAGTGGTGAAAGGCACGGATGTTGCAGAAAAAGCAAAGACCACTGTTTGCTGCCCTCCTGGATAGGGCGGGAGGAACCCAACAGTGGCCTGTCAGCTGCTCACTGGGCCTCCTCTGACTGGTGAGAGTAGAAAATGGCATGAGACCTTGTTGGACATCAATGAATACAAAACCTTAAACCACAAAGAGGCTCCAGGTTTAAAACCCACACCTGGATGGCCAGCTGGGAAGGAACCTAACAAATCAAGAGAAAGGGAACTTTTCTCTGGCTACCAAGCGGGGAGCGAGAGAGAGGCAGGCATGGCTGAAGGGGCATCTAGCCTCTGCCTCCCTCCACCCCAGGGGGCATGCAAGCTCTCCATTCAATTGGGTCTCCCCAAACTATGATGGAACCCTCACCCCAATGTGTGGCTGTGGTCCCATCTGGGGATGGGTTTTCTTTGCTGTGTTACTGAGGCCTGGTCATCGCAGAGGGTGTCTTAAGCCAATCCCTTCTGTGACATAAGGCAGATTTGGCACAGAGCACCCAGACACAGGGTCAGGACGACGGGGCCCAGGAGATCAGAGGATGCCCAACCAGAGCAGCCGCAACAAAGACCTTCCACCAGAGCTGACAGACAGCTAGTGACCTGAACTCAGACCAGTGGCCTCCTGAACTCTGCAAACACACTCATCTTCTCAGCCACACCACTGCGTCGCTGCTGTAGAACTAAGACACTGGGAGACTGGCCCCACCTAGGGAGCTCTTTCAGCGAGATCCTTTACCTGGGCATGCTGAGGGTGGCCTGGGGCCACTGGCCCCTTCCTGCCCAGGGACAGACTGGCCTTCCACTGAAATGCCAGTTTCCTAAGGAGGGAGGCTGTGGCTCTCCCTGCAATGCTGCACAGAGGTAGGGCTCCCCGAGGTGGGCAGAGTGTTCCTGGGAGGCCAGAGGGCAGGTCTGGCTCAACTACAGGGCCCGATGTCACACGCAGGTTCTGGACACCCAGGATGGCACTGAAGGGCTTGGCCTGGTTCAAACCCCAAGTGGCCTCATGCACTGGGACCTTGACTGAGGGAGACCTGTGCTCTAGGAAACACAGCCTGAGGGCATGAGGTCAGAGGGCACGCTGCAAGGTCCAGTCCATGCTGCATCCACACACAAATGCATGTATACACATATATGCACACATACATACACACATGCACACTCACACATACACACATGGAAGTACCTACACATATGCGTACAAATACATACCACAGATGCATGCAGATGTATGTTCACACACACGAGTGCACACATAGAAACACACCTGTATGGTTGATCACACATGCACATGCAAGTACACAGATATGCAATACACATACATACATAATACAAATACATCACAGATGCACACTGACATATGCACACTCACACACACATGTGCATACACATGCAAACACATATACAGATGGACAAAGACATACACATTTACACTCCTACACATACACACAGGTACACACATGTACATGTACACATGCATACAAACATATACACAATTACATACATACACACAAAAGTACACACCCATGCACATACATGGGCACACAACTGCACACACATGCACATGTTATTGTTGTTGTTTCATGCTGTCAAGTTGGACCTGACTCATAGCAACCCCTCCTTGGGTTTCCGAGGTGTTATCACTATGGAAGTAGATTGCCCATCCTTCCTTCCGAGGAGTAGCTGGTGGGTTTGAACCGCCAGCCTTCTGGTTAGCAGTCAAATGCTTTAGGTGCTACACCACCAGAGCTCCTACACATGCACATACACATGTGTATATAAACACACACAATGGCACACAAGCACATGCACATACACACAGGCCCACAAGCATACAAATATGAGTTTACAACCAAACGCACACATGTGCACATATTTGCACGTGAACACCCTCACAAGTTCACACATATGCATGCACTGTGAACGTGTACATAAGGCACTTATGCAACGGCACACATGGATACACATACACACATCAACACTCCTGTGAACATGCACACAGGCACATATGCCCACGTTCACCCCCCACACCCGCCCTGGCCTGAGGTAGCAAGCGTAGAAGCATTTGTAACGTGAATAGACTGGTGTGTACACTCCTCAGCTCCTTGCCCACCCCCCACATCCTGGGCAAGCACCAGCCCTCCTGAGGTCCCGGCGAACCACTCCCCCAAGTCCCGGGCATGAGGCACCAGCCCTTCTGAGGCCCTGGTGAGCCGCAGCCTCCATGTACTGGGCATGTGGCACCAGGCCTCCTGTTGCCCCGGCAGGCTGCCCTGCCATGTCCTGGGCGTGCGACACCAGTGCTCCCGAGGCCCCGGCAGGCCAGCCGAGCACACACCACCCTTGTCTGCTACAGGATCTCCACTCGCCCAGCCCACTTCCTGCTCCAGGTGGTCACAGGCACAGTGCTGCCTCCTCATCGCAGGGACAAAGGGGCCTTTCATGCTACATGATACAACTTCATTTCCTCCTGGCAAGGCCTGGGCGAGGCCTGGCCTCCAGCGTTCTGGGGCTGGGCTCCTTAGTGGGGAGTGACAGGCCGACAGCCAGTCTCCTGGGTGAACACATCAGGGCACACGGCAGGATCACAGCCTGCTCCCATTCCATAACTACAAGGGCTCCTGGAGGGCACAGAGGACCAGGGGCACAGGCCCCACTCCTCACCATGTCCCGGGGCCAGGTGGATAGCAGGCGCATGGGAGAGCAGCCTAGGGGGAGATACCAGAGTCACAGACCAGAGATGAGTGGCCTCAGGGGGACAGGGTATCTGTGACACTTGACTGCAGGGCAGAGGGGGCTGGCCCTGCCACCCTGCGCTCTGACAGCCTCATGTCCCCTGCACCAGGGCCAGCTCAGATCCTGGGGCGCATTTCACTTCCCCCACCCTTTTCCTCCCCACCCCACCACTCCACCTCCACCGAAAGGTGCAGTTGTTGGTGTCCAACAGGTGCTCTCCAGTTCCTGCCACGGTCTTCCTCCACATGCATGTGCACATACACGTAGCACACACATGTGCTTGCACACACACATGTCCACACCTCACCGCTGAAGGAAAATGGGGGGGGGTGCTTACGGTCCATTTTTATTATAATTTTATTGGTACCTGTTGCCCTCGAGTCAACCCTGGTTCAT